ATCCTTACCTGTTGGCAAGCTTGTTAGTCTTCTGTTACTGGTAACAAACTATGTACTCTTAAAAGTTGTGTGTTCTCATGGCCGTCTTTCTACCTCCGTAATCAGCGATGGGAAACGGCTCTGGCGAAAATTGCGTATTGGCCATACTCACTTAACTCACGGTCACTTAATGGAGCGCCGCCCTGCTCCTTATTGTCCAAATTGCATTATCCCTCTTATGGTCGTGCATATCCTTCTCAAATGTCCTGACTTCCAGGACGAGCGTGTGTCTTGTTTTCCGACCGTCCTCCGCAGTCGCTTGTCCCTCGATAGAATTCTTGGTGACTCGGATACTTTTGATATCGTTCACCTTATGGGTTTCCATTCTCATGTTGGCATTCTTGGTGATATTTAGTGCCCTCTGATTATTCTGCACATTTGATGGTGCTACATAGCCTTCCCGGTTTGGTGCCTTCTTTTGATAATTACTTACTTGTATTTGCCTGAATCCCATATGCTGCTGATGTTATCCTGTTTTTGTGCACCTCTGGTGAGAGTATTGGAATTATATCCACTCTCAGACCCTTCTCTCTTTCTGATTCCTGTAGCTGCCTTCCCTGTATAATGTAGATGGCTTCTGGTCTTCTCTCCCCCTTTGTAAGGGAATGAGCTAGTAAGCTGTACACTTGAGTACGAAATCACAAAATCCGTTCTTACTTTCTTATTTACAGTATACTGTAAATGTTACTTTAAACCGGAATGTGGAACCAATATGCATTTATTAACACTTCAATCAGGAGAATGACTTCGTGGGACCGTTGGCATATTTTTGCATTGGTGGGACTCGAGAAACAATCGAAGTGCATGCATTACATATATTTAAACACAGGAAAAGGGATAATACACTGACAAGGAAAAGCTCACTCACTAGATTTACGATTACAGTTCCAGACACTAGGTTTAAATGGAGGTCAATAACCTCACACAGTGAGGTGGGTACCTCACAAGCACACACCACACAACTTGTGTGTATGGAGTCTCGGCCCTCTTTCATGGAGCACAGGGATGCTCCTCTCACAAAAACGCACGGGAAAACTTTACACATTTTAACACAAATAAACACAAATAATTTTAAAAAATTAAAACAAACAAAATAAACTGGTATTTTAATTAGTAGAAACATTTACATTAACAACCACAAAAGCTAAAATTTTTATACCAGTCATTACATCTTTCCTATTCTCATTACCTTACACTTGTTGGGATTGAATTTAAAAACATAACATCATACAAATAAAGGTAACTGCAGAGGGCCTATTGGCCCAAACAAGGCAACTCTTATTTATAACCACCCAATCCCACTCATATACATGTCCAATCCACGCCTGAAACAAACAAGGGACACCCACGTCCACCATGTTAAGCGGTAATTGGTTCCACAATTAAACAACCCAATTTCAGCAACCATTTGTCGGAACACTCTTAGAGTTTGTCATGGTCCTGTTACTTTTTGCAGTCTTGATCTGATTTTACATTCCTCATCAGCTTTGCATCATCTAGAAGTATTGACATATCTGAGTTCATTTTGGTAGATCGTTCACATAAATTAGAAATAGCAGCGGTCCCAGGGCTGAGCCATTTGGGACTGCTTATTACATTCCTCCAGTTTGAGACAGTCACTCTGGGATTCTTTGCTATCTGTCTTTTTGATACTCCTATACCCAGATCAGTGTTTTCCCGATCTGGTTCTTCATCTGTACAAGTTTCCATGGTGAACAGTGTCACATGTCTTTTGACAGTCTTGAAAAATAGTCTACCAAAGCTTTCTTTCCCTTTTTTATTTTACTAACCTTGTAATTACCCAAGTGTAGTTACAGGATGAAAGCTGCGCTCGTGGTATCCCATCTTCCCAGCACTCTTTGTCATACTGTATAACGATTTGCAACTACTGATGGGTTTGGCCTCCATCACCCTCTCACCTAACTTGTTCCAACCGTCTACAGTACCATTCTTTGCGAAAGTGAATTTTCTTATGTGTACTGTATTTCTTCTGCAGTTTTGTCTAGTTAGGTTAAATCTATGACCTCTTGTTCTTGAAGTTCCAGGTCTTGGTAATTCTTCCCTACCAATTTTGCCAATTCCTGGTACTATTTTGTATATAGTCATAATATTGCCTCTTTTTTTCTATCTTCTAGTTTTGGCAAATTTAATGACTCTAACCTCTCTCCATAGCTCTTGTCTTTTAGTAAAAGGAGCCATTTAGTTGTATGTCTTTACACCTTTTCCAGTTTGTTGATGTGCTTCTTAAGATATGGGCACACTATAACCATTCATATTCCAACTTTGGGGTAACAAAGGTTGTGAACAATTTCTTTAGTATTTCACTAGCCATGTATTTAAAAGCAATTCTGAAATTGGAAAGTGTAGCATAAGTTCCTCGCACTCTGTTCTTTATGTGGTCCTCAGGTGATGGTTTTTTCACATAATTTATAGGTTGTGTGTGTGGTGTGTTTTCTCCTATTCCACATTCCATAACATGGCATTTATTCACATTAAATTCATTTGCCAAGTGGTGTTCTATACACTTATTTTGTCCAGGTCTTGAAGGGTGTGACAGTCGTTTAAGTTTCTTATCTACCCTAATATCTTAGCATCATCATCACACATGTTCATATAATTCTGTATTCCACCTGGAAAGTCGTTTAGGTCGACATTGTAGGCAATGTCATTACAACTATGAACTTTGTCAGGCACGACTTTCCATTTCTAAATCTTGCCGATAAATTATCCATGCCGATTATTTTGTCACAGTCAGTTCTCTCCAGATGCTCCACCAATTTCAACCTGATTACTTTCTCCAGCATTTTACCAGGAATACTTGTCAATGACATTGGTCTGTAGTTTAGTGCCTCTTTTCTATCCCCCTTTATGAATATTGGGGCTACATTTGTCTTTTTCCAGACATCTGGGAGACTACCTGTCTCAAGTGTTTTATTAAAATTTTAGACGACGGGTGACAGAATACTTCTGCAGCCTCCCTCAGCAGCAATGTGTAATAGTCAACAAAGTAAAATCCAAATTATCCACCAACAAAAGCTCAGTGCCCTACAGTACTGTGCTTGCTCCAGAACTTTTTCTCATCCTCATATTGGACATAGACAAGGACACAGACTATACAGGTAGTACCATATCATCCTTTACAGATAACACTAGGATTTTATTTAAAGAACACAGCAAAACTCCAAACTGGTGTAAATCAGGTCTTTCAGTCGGACACAGAAAATATTATTAAGTTTAATGAAAAATAAGTTCCAGTTCCTGTGCTATGAAAAAAGAAATATATATAAACAGAAACTACATATAAAATGCAGTCAAATCACACTACAGTATAGAACGAAAAAGCATTATAAATGGTTTGGGAGTAATCATTTTGGAAGACCTTATTTTTAACCCTTAAACGGTGCAAAACATATAAACATTAAACATTATTCACAAAACATATACGATTGGACATGACAGCAGTTTTTAAAACTTGCCCAAACACTTTCTAATTTTTTGTGCATAATCAACTTGGCAAATGCTCCAACTTTGTCACTTGATCACCAACATAACTTGAAAAACAAGAAAATAAAAAATAATTTTAAAATTGAATATTGAAAACTTTAGATTTTCAAATCAGATTAAAAAATATAAACTATGACCAGTTGTTTATTTGGTGTTATTATGCTCTCAGAATAGCATATGATCTTAATTTTCATCAAATTAGAATATAGGTTTTCAGTATACAGTAGAACCTTGAGTGACGATCCCCCTCAAATGGTGAGCATTTTGGGTAACGATCACCCAGATCGCCAACAATTCGTCTCGTATGGTGACCGCTCGTTTGAATGACGACAAGACCACATGGTGGGGTCGCGCTACTTCTCGCACATTCTCGGACGCCTCCGATGATGCAAATAAATTATGTTTTTGTTTAAAGATGCTAATGATGCTGGGATATAAAGGGGTGACTGCTGAGATGTTGCAAAGCAATGACTTTTTTGTAGAAAAAAGAAATTAATTTTTTTGAAATACAGGAACAACAAATATAAAAAATGTTCGTTCGGTCTTTTATTTCCAGAATCCACTCAATAAAACATCAATTATTTGGATTGTTTAATTTTTTTAATTTGCATGCCCTAACAGATGGGAGAGACAAAAAATTAAATTTGAAAAATAGTAGAGGAACTGGTTCCATATCTGCACATGGAAATGACACCACCCGAGACCAGGAGGCATGGTAGGATGAACAAAATAGCTCTGTTGAAAACCAGAGGTGCAATCGGCATGCTGAGAGAGAGAGATCTATCAATGTCAAAGACCCAAGACTTCAACACACTCTCTCTGAACACAAAGGTCATGACTGGCTCTCCTCTCATGGAGTTTAAAAGAAAACTTTATTAACACCTTCAATGGACACCTGATCAACCAGCCTGCGATTCATATGTCGGGCTGCGAGCAGCCGTGTCTAACAGTCTGTTTAATCAGACCACCAACTAGGAGGCCTGGTCATTGATGGGATTGCAGGAACATTGATCCTTGAAACCAATGTAAGGTAACCACAAGGTAACATAAGGTTGATTTATAAATTTGATGTAAACATTTTTGCAAATGAATTCTCTAGAGATTACATGCAAAAACAAAAGTGTATTAATTAAAGATTATACGAAACAGCGATGAGTATACAGCACAAATATTTGTCAGTCGGAGTACATATGATGCGTTATAGCATCATTGGGACGTGAAAGTCTTAGGAACAGTCTTCTTTGCATTTGCTGGAGATAAACGAGGGACTAAACTTCTTTTTATTGAAGAATAGTGAACAAAAGAATCGTGCTAACATTAATTTACATTAGTTGTTTTATTGCTTGATGAGCTCTGCTATTATCAAACAAATGAGAAAGAACCCTGTAACATAACGTATGAAACGTGTAAATGATGTGCAAGCATAATACATTACATAGTTCATGCATTACTTCTAGGATCTGCCTTTGAGTGGTGGTGACAAGCTGATTTATGTATAATATGAGTTAAGTGGCAAATGATGACTATGATGACTTTGATAATGTCCTGACATCATATATGAGGGGCCACCATCAGGTGTGAACTTAAAGGTCATGCCCCTGGTGTGACCCAGAGGAAAGGGAGAGACTTGAGGAACTTGTGGAGTAGGCCGCCGCCATGGGACCCGAAGGTTCCGCTTCCTTCTTGCATATGGGGGACATTGTGTCCCTTTATGCAGAAGGTAGTGTGTCAGGTTTCATCAGCACTCTTGGGTAAGTGATATAGTGCTGTGTTCTTTGCTTAATTTTTTATTGCCTATTATTTAGATAGCATGACTATTATTTATGTAATTCATTTATTGTACAGACTGCTGGGAAAATTGTATTGTATGTGCCAGATCATTTCCACTGCTCTACTTTCCTTTTGAACCTTTGAATTTCATTTTTCAATGCCTAAGCAAATGTTTACCCCAACCCCTACAAGAGACAAATATAGTACTCAAAAGCCTTTCCCTGAAGGTACCGAGCCTGACTAGCAATGGCATAAATGCTCTCAATTCTTCATCTATGTCCAGTACTTTCTCCTCTAGGACTTATGTCACAACATTGACCAACCTATATACTGTGTATATGCAGTACATTATACTGTGTATATGCAGTACATATATATATATATATATATATATATATATATATATATATATATATATATATATATATATATATATATATATATATATATATATATATATATATATGTATATGTATGTATATGTATGTATGTCGTACCTAGTAGCCAGAACGCACTTCTCAGCCTACTATGCAAGGCCCGATTTGCCTAATAAGCCAAGTTTTCCTGAATTAATATATTTTCTCTAATTTTTTCTTATAAATGATAAAGCTACCCATTTCATTATGTATGAGGTCAATTTTATTTTATTGGAGTTAAAATTAATGTAGATGTATGACCGAACCTAACCAACCCTACCTAACCTAACCTAACCTAACCTATCTTTATAGGTTAGGTAGCCGAAAAAGTTAGGTTAGGTTAGGTCGGTTAGGTAGTCGAAAAAACATTAATTCGTGAAAACTTGGCTTATTAGGCAAATCAGGCCTTGCATAGTAGGCTGAGAAGTGCATTCTGGCTACTAGGTACGACATATATATATATCTATATCTATCTATCTATCACAATAAACTCTGACCCCACCAGGATATGAACCTGCGCTGACAGTGCTCATCTCATCTGCTATGCTTTAATCATAGTGCTCCACCAATGATTGCATGCAATTGATGGTGGAGTGATATTAGTACTGTGGAGTCAGTAAGGTGATCCAAAATGCATGGTAGGGAAAATATTAGGAGGACTGGGTCCAAATCTGCACAGAGAAATAACACCACATGAGATCAGATGGCATGGCAAAATAGTGGGGCAAAATAGCCCCACTGAAGAACAGAGGTGCAATAGGCACGCTGAGTGAGAACTTGATCAACATCAGAGGCCCGAGACTTTTCAACACTCTTCCCCTAAACATACGGGGGGCATAACTGGCTGACCTCTCAGTGTTCAAAAGAGAACTCTACAAGCACCTTCAAATGATACCTGATAAACCAGGCTGTGACTCATGTCAGACTGAGCAGCTGCATCAAACAGTCTGGTAGATCAGATCAACAACCAGGAGGCTTGGTCAGAGACGCGGCTCTAGGAATATTGATCCCCAGAATCTTCAACAGGTAGGGAACTCATTTTAACAATATCTGAAAGAAAAAAGAAATTTGGAAATAATATTTTTCTTGCACATGACAGGAGGGGCTGCACAGTTTTGAGGTTAAACACAACAGCATTGTGACTGTTGTTAATTTGCTTATGGATATTTTCCATTGTATGTAAGTGCAGTACCTTCTACCATCTAGAGGGTGAAGAAACACTAAATCATTTCATCTTTTCATTTTATTTTGATGTTTTGTCAACAGTGTGACATCTTCAGCGAGTTGCTCTTTGATACAAGATACATGTGCATAATAATTTTACTTACAACAAATATTGACATTTGTAAGTGTGGGTACACCTCGCTCTACAATTGAGTAGCCCTCAATTGTTGAGAGTGGTGAAGGATTCAGTAAATTGAGTAATGCCTAGCTCCAGCTTCTAGTTGTCCATCGGGTCTGCTATCTTCCCTCTGGATCAACAGAGGACCATACAGCTTACCAGCTGTATGCTTGAAGTCGAATTCATCTAAAAATTGATTACCGGTGCCAGCTCTCGAATGAACACGACATGAAGCATGTAGGACCACCACCTATAATCGGTGCATGTGATTACTGTTATGTCGTTCACTATGCCCTGGCAATTCAGGATGGTGCTGTGGTGTTGAGTGATGTTGCTTAATACCTCTTTGCAAATGTAAGACATCTGCTCAGACACAAGACACACTCACACGTTTTCACAACATTTATATTTTGCAAATGTAAGATATCTGCTCTGTCATCCTTTGCAGGTACAAAAATCAGCATGAAAATTTTCTTTGTAGAAGACACTGAAAAACCACAAGCTGATACTGTATTAATAGCCTTCGATTAGGCAATGGAAAATAACATGATGTTTAATGATAAGTCGTAGGTACTTAGGTATGGTGGATATGAGGAACTTAAACAAAATACAGGGGACAGAACACAAATAGACTTACTCATAGAAGGAAAACACTATGTAAAAGCTCTGAGAATTATGTCTGATGACCTGATATCTAATAAACATAACCGAGCAAATATGGCTGCAGCCAGAAAAGTAATTAGGATGGATCATGAGAACATTCAAATCCAGAGATCCCACTGCAGTGGTAATACTTTTCCTGATAAAGTATCCTTAAAAAAAACAAGAGTAACTCCAGTTCATAAAGGAGGCGAGACAGCTGACATAAACAATTACAGACCCATATCAAACCTACTGATAGTTTCAAAAATATCTGAACAAATTATTTAAAAAGCTCTCTACTCCTACAGTACCTTGTAAAATTCAACTCGAGTCCTAGTCAGTTCGACTTTCATTCTCAAGAGTACCAATGATGCTATTATTAGTTTGCTAGATATAATCTACACAGCCCTTCACAAAATCATTACCCACTTGACCTCTTCATTAACCTGGGAAAGGCCTTTGATACTGTAAACTATAATTATCTTCTACTGAAACTTCATCATTAGTCCATACGTCAGGCTGCGAGCAGCCGCGTCCAACAGCCTGGTTGATCAGTCCAGCAACCAGGAGGCCTGGTCGACGACCGGGCCGCGGGGACGCTAAACCCCGGAAGCACCTCAAGGTAACCTCAAGGTAATTATGGAATCCGAGGCTTTGCTCTCAACTTCGTTCGATCATACAGTGTCTTAATAACAGACACAGATATGTAGCCATCAATGACATAACCTCTCTCATTATACCATTAACTGCAGGACCTCTCCTATTTCTTAAATCTATCAATAACTTGCCAAAATGTGTCTAATATTCTTAAATCTATACCATTTGCTGTTGGTACTACCTTTATCTGTTCAAACCCCCAACCCTCACACACTAATCATACACAATTGTAAATAATGAATAAAAAAAGTACACTTATAGATGTCGACCAACGAACTCACGCTAAACGTAGAAAAGACCTACTACATTTTATTTGGAAGCAAATCATCAAACAAAATCCACCTTCAGATAGACAATGTCAGTACTGTATTAGGATTAAATGTGATGTGAAAATCCTTAGCCTGTACATAGACATGAGACAGGACTTTAGTACCCACATACAACACCCAAAAAAAGTCTCACTGTTGGTATACTCTCAAAAATCAGATATTATGTTTCACACACTACTCTTCTTCTTGCACAATACTGTACTCCTTGCTAATCTATCCCTATGTAACGTACATACTGTATCTGTACATGGAGTTTAACCACTGCAGATTACCTCAAGCCCATCATCACCCAGCAAAAATCTGCTATCAGAACTATAACAAACTCTGTCTTCAGACAACACACAGCCCCTGTTTAAATCCCTAAACATACTGAACATACACTTAATCTACCCATTCTCTTGTGCTATTTGCACATACAAACCTTATTCCTAAATGCTAATTCTGATCTGGAATTCTTCCTTGATTAGCTGTAGTGGAACCCATGAGCATCACACCAGAAACAAATATCTCTTTGATACTCCTAGAGTCAGACAAATCTGTGCAAACATTCCATGCAAATAAAGTTACCCAGTGTATGGAATTCATCCCTAATGAATTTATATATTGTGCAACCTGTACTTTATTCAATATTAAAAACCAAAAAGTACCCAATTTCATCTTCATAGTTTCCTACCTTGGGCTCCTAACTTATACTGTATCCTATGCTACCCACTCCGCCAATTTTAGTACAGTACTTAAGACATACAACATCACCAGTATAATCTATTCTATCAACCTGTAGTTATTAAGTTGAACACAAATTCTGCAACAGTGTACCTATTATTACATTTATCAGTTAGCTTATCCACTGTGAAGCGCCGAGTTTGTGACATTCCCCCTGTGCGCATGAAATCAAGTGTTCCCCCAAAATTCTTTTTTGTTTGTAAAATGATAAATTCCCTTCCCTGAACATGTCTATGTAAAAATAAATACTAAATTCCACTTTGTCTGTGGGGACGTGGAAGGTGCGCTGTGACGTCATCATGGGCTGGTCGCCCATGTGTGAAGCTCCCAGAGGCGGTCACGCGGGCCATTCAAGCACTGCGAGTTGTCACAAATATATTTTCAATTATTTGTTCTATGTACTGTATTTCCAATGCGGTTTTATTTGTTTTTTATCGTATATGATGCATATTTGTGTCCTTTACAATATGTATACAATAGAACGTTCATTATGTTCCATGGAACTGTGATACATGTGTCGGTAATGTATCCACAATAAATGTTTATTGTCGCAGTATTATTTGTTAAAAATTTACTAAAATTACAATATGTAGTTTCATACACTATTTACACAGTAACACACTGTATTACACAGTACTGTACTTCAGAAGTGAGTAATAATCAACAAAGTAGTCCATGGTACACAACGCGAGTTTGCTCTCATTGCACCAGGTACAGATTTCGCTTCCTGTTTCTTCGTTCTGTGTGCTTGAAAATAATGCACTCACGTACACTCTTGGCTTTAATACTTGTAGGCGGTATGTAGCCAAGCTTGTAAAGTGTAAGGTAGTCTTGAAAAGATCACTGGACCAAACTTGTAAGCATCGGGTGGG